AAATTGGTCCAAGATTATCTAGATCCAGACACATTGTCAAGCAAGCCCAGATTGGGAAGATGGTGGCCTATCGGCAATGTCACTAGACTGGTAATTCAGAAACACAATATAAAACACTCTGGGATCCTATCATGGCAGCTGGTGGAATTTCAGTTAATAAATCTGGAACACAAAGCTGATGGTGACAATGCCAACTATCATTGGTTGTCATAAAAATCCATTTGGTTCATAAATGTCCTTTAGGGAAGGAAATCCATCATTATTACCTGGTCTGGCCTACATGTAACTCCAGACCCACAGCAATGTGGTTGACTGTTAACTGCCCTCTGAACTGATCAGTTCATATTAGAGATGGATAACAAATGAAAAAAAGAGAAAAACAAAAAGGGGCTTGCATAGAGTGGACAGGGAAGGCCTATTTCCCCTTAGAGAAGCACAGATTTAAGGTAATAGGCAGAACAATTGGAGACATGAGGAAAAGTTTTTCACAAGTGGTGGGTGTTATGGCCAGTTTTTGGTTGATGTGGAAACCTTCAACTCAACTCAACTCAACTTGGAAAATAAAGTGAAAGATAATCCAAACAGATTCTACAAGTATGTTAAGAGCAAGAGAGCAAATAGAGAGAGAGAGAGAGAGAGAGAGAAGGACCCTTTAAATATCAAAGAAATCATCTTTTTGTTGAACCTCAGGAGATGGGAGAGAAATTTAAATGAACACTTGGTGTCAATTTTTACTGTGGAGAAAGACATGGAGGCTAGAGAACTCAGGGAAATAAACATTGATGTGTTGAAAACAGTTCGCATTACAGAAGAGGAAGTGCCGGAGAAAATATGATGGTGGATAAATCTCCAGGACCTGTTCTAGCGTATCCCAGGAGTTTCTGTGAAGTTAGTGAGGAAATTGCGGGGCCCCTTTCAGAAATATTTGTATCATCTATAACTACAGGTAAGGTGCCAAATTACTATAGAGTGGCTAATGTTGTGCCTTTGCTTTAAGAAAGGATGTAAGGAGAAGCTTCAGTGTTGGGAAAAAAGTTGTTGGAAGTGATTCTGAAAGGTAGGATTTATATGCATTTGGAGGGGCAAGGGATGTTTAGGGATAGTCAGCATGGTTTTGTGTGAGGGAAATCATGTCTCACAAACATGATATGAGTTTTTTGAGGATGAGGGCAGAGTGGTAGACATTGTTTACTTGGAATTTAGTAAAGTCTTTGACAAGGTTCTGCGTGGTAGACTAATAAAGTTAGATCACATGGGATTCAGAGTGAGCATGCCAATCATATACAAAATTGGCTTAACAGCAGGAGAAAGAGAGTGACTGTGGACTGATGTTTCTCAGACTGGAAGCCTGTCACCAGCGGTATTCTGCGAGGATCAGTGTTGGGTCCACTTTCGTTTGTCAGTTATATAAATAAATTAGGTGCGAATATGAAAGGCATAGTTAGTAAGTTTCTGGATGACAGCAAAATTGGTTGTATTGTGGACAATGAAGAGGTTACCTAAGATTACAAAGAGATCTTGATCAATTGGATCAATGGGCTGAAGAGTGGCAGATGGAGCTTAATTTGGATAAATATGAGGTATTGCATTTTGATAAAATAAACAAGGGCAGGAGATACAATTAAAAGTAGGGCCTTGTTTAGTTTTGTACAACAGAAATTCAGGTAAATAATTCTTTGAACTTTGCATCACTGATAGATAGGATGGTTAAGAAGGTATTTAGCACGCTTGCCTTCATCGCTCAGACCTTTGAGTACAGGAGTTGGGACATTATGTCGAGGTTGTACAGGATGTTGGTGAGGCCTGTTCTGGAATACAGTGCCCAGTTCTGGTCGCCCTGTTATAGTAGGGATATTATTAAGCTGGAAAAGGTTCAGAAGAGATTTACCAGGATGTTGATGGGAACGGAGGGTTTGAATTATGGGGACAGGCTAGGGCTTTTTTCATTGGACTGTAGAAGGTTGAGGGGTGACCTTATAGAGGTTTATAAAATCATAAGAGGTATAGATAAGGTGAATGGCAGCTGTCTTTTTGGGGAATTTTAAGACTGGGTAGCATATTTTTAAAGTGAGAGGAGAAAGATTTAAAAAAGACATGAGGAGCAATTTTTTTACACAGAGGATGGTCAGTATGTGGAATGAACTCCAAGAGGAAGTGGTGGATGCAGATCAAGTGACAATGTTTAAAGGCATTCAGATAAGTACATGAATAAATGTTTGAAGGGTTATGGGCCAAGCACAGGCAGGTAGGACTAGTTTAGTTTGGGATTATGGTCAGCATGGACTGGTTGGACTGAAAGGTCTATTTCCATGCTGTAAGACTCTCTGACTGTACTAAAAGCAGATTGGTTTTGCACCTGCACTGTAATCTGCAAGACAATGGACCAGGTGCTATGAAGTAGGAATAGAATGGGCAGCTATTTTCTTCAACAATGGCCTCTTTGAGGCATAACTTTTCCATAGTCTTAAAATGTCACCAGCAGCATTTCATCATTTGATGGATTGGGGGTTGTAGCCCACAGGTGTACAGCAGATTGTTCCTCCGTGAGTCAGCAGAAATAGATAGGATTTAGAAGGGGATTTTCTTTTGAGATTGGAACTGGTCATAAGGCCTATTGATGTACCAGTGAGTATCCAGTAGTTAATTTTCTCAGCCCTAATATTCTTTCCCCTAAATCATTGAATTTTTTTTTGTACTTTTATAGTTAAGGTAGAATTACTTGTTTCTGTTTTCTTTTATGGGTATAAATTAGCAGACAAGGTTTGCTACATTAGTTTGTGTTCATACCATTATGCCTGGGCAAAATCAATGCGCAGAATCAATATGCCAACTCCTGCAACCCAGAATGCATTGCCACTCCCATTCAGGACAGGACAGATGGCGAATCTGCTCTTTCATTATGTATTGTGGCACTTAACAACAAAGTAAATGAACTTCCAACATGTGAGATTCCAGTTAACATTCCTGTCAGTTCCATTCAAACTCAATGAAGCAGAAGTCTAACTAAGTTTGGAATGTGTCTACAAATGATCAATCCTACCTCCAAAAGAAACGGTATAAATTTTTTTGAAGAAGCTCGATAAGTCTGAGGCATCATCATGCCTTGCTCCCAACAAGTCTTCTTCACTTTCCTCTGATCTGCTGCTAGGAATCTGGATAACACTAAGATTTGATGCACTTTATTTCCAGCCAGAAAAAGCCCAGCAGTTTCAGCCACCCAAAATAATTATTATATTCGCTGATCCTATCCCTTCACATTCAATTCAAATTTTGCTCAGGTGAATCATTCCATTTCTGACTGCTGCCTCCTTTTTCAATTCCTTATGAAATCACAAGGGTTTTGTTTGCTTTCTCACTTTCAATGCAACACTTCTTCAGTGCTTATTTGTTTATGTTACTAATTATAAATTATATTGATTTAACACCACTGGGGAAAGTATTGCTCAGTGCTTGTTTTTGACAGATCCTTGAAACCTGCTCATTTACTTCTAAGGAGCAATGAATCTCCAATTGTTTACTCCTACTGTAGTTTATGCTCTAAATTTAATTTGTTTTCAAATGAAATACTTCATTTTATTTGCCTTAGAAAGATTATCTGAATGGTGCATGTACATGTTGCATATACATGTAAGTTTGTTTGCTGTAACTAAAGGATAAAAGAAAGGTTATCTTTAGAAATTATGATGAGTTACCACTGATATGAGAAAATATCTAGGAATCTAATTTATATATATTTTATATATATGTATATATATGTACGTATCTATATTTCCGACAGTAAGATTTGATACAAATCTTTAAGGCACAGAAGTAAACCACTCAGCTCATCGAACCTGCCTCGCCATTCAATACAATTGTGACTGATTGAACACTTTAATGTCTTTTACCTACCCCACCTCCATAACCTTGTACACCACTGTTAATTAGAAATCTATCAATATCTACAATAAACATACTCAAAGACTGAGTTTCTGCAGCCATTCGTGGTAGAGAATTCCAAAAAGTTCACAACCTTCTGAGTAAAACAGTTCTTTTCATCCAGCATCCACTTTATTTTTAAATTGTGATCTCTGGTTGTGAAGTCCCCAGTCAAGACAAATATCTTACTTGCATCTACCCTATTCCTTTTAGTGTTTTGGAAGTTTCAATGAACTCACCTCCTGTTCGATGAAGCGCCAGAATACAGGCCTGGTTTGCTCAAACTTTCTTTATAGGACAGATCCTATCACCAATAGGAGACAACCTAACCTCTTGACATTCAGTGGTGTTACCATCACTGAATCCCCCCCTATCAACATCCTGGGAGTTATCATTGATCAGAAACTCAACTGGACTCACCACACAAACCCGTGGTGACAAGAGCAGGTCAGAGGCTAGAAACACTGTGGCGAGTAACACACCTCCAGACTCCTCAAAACCTGTCCACCATGTACAAGGCACAAGTCAGGAGTGTGATGGAATACTCCCCACTTGCCTGGATGAGTGCAGCCCCAACAACACTCATGAAGCTTGACACCGTCCAGGGCAAAGCAGCCCACTTGATTGGCACTACATCCACAAGCATCCACTCCCTGCACCATTGACGCTCAGGAGCAGCAGTGTGTACTATCTACAAGATGCACTGCAGAAATTTACCAAAGATCCTCAGACAGCACCTTCCAAATGCATGACCACTTCCATCTAGAAGGACAAGGGCAGCAGATGTATGGGAACACCACCACCTTCAAGTTCCTCTCCAAGCCACTCACCATCCTGACATGAATTTGTGCCTGATAGACATGTACGAGATGATTTTCCATTCCTTTTTTGGGCATAACTAATATTTCGAATAGCAGTCAAACCCATATCCCACCTTTCATTGATGCAAGTATTGGCACTACAAACTGTAACAGTTTGTCATCTTCAGAAAGTTAAATCTAATTATGAAAATGTAATGAGGGTTTTCAACTTTGACTGTTTTATACATGTTCAATGTTTCTTTTCTCACAAATCCTGTTTAGATTCCTGCCATTCAGCAAAACAAATAGATACAGAACCTATGAGCCGCTTCTTCATACCAGCACCAAATATGAACCTATAGCTTATGGAACTAAGCACTTTAGAGCAACTGAAGACATGCCAAGCAAGAATAAGGTAGGCAAGCAATAAAAAAACATAATTGACTCTTCATGTATCTGAATGATCCAATGGCAATTGCCTATTAGTTCTTCATAATCTATAATCAATGAAAATATAAAGTGATAGTTGTTTATATGCAATATGAATGTAACTTTTCAAAATCTGGAAATATTTCAGCTATTCATGGTCTTAATAAAGAATAGTTACTTATTTGCAATATGCATTGCTTTGAAACCATGAGAAGAAGGTTAAAGGCTGATATCGTGAAGGTGAGTTTATCCCTCTACAGTATTTCAGCTGAATGACTCCAACATTAGCAAAATGAATACTGATAATGCTTACCAATTTTTGACTTGACTGCAACATTTGAACAAAATGTCTTCTTAGGGAATGAAAATAAAATGTGTGCATTCCAATTGCTATCTCATTTAGTTTAATCCTGTTCGATATATTGAAAGAATATAGCCAGTTACAATGCATGTGCATTCCTTTCACTCACTAAGCCTCCATTATTTCCTAGTGGGAATGATGTTTCTCGAACAATTTGATTGATCCTAAATTAACATTCCTGACATACATCTGACTCATAAAATTACAATATCCACAAAACCTATGAAAAATGCCTGAAGAATCGCACAGAAAGATGGGGCATGGCATATTAGTTGCTTAAGCCCTTAATTTCCTGATGGACAATATTTCACAAAATATGAGGATGACATTCAACCTACAATTGTTCATTTTTATGCAGGAAAAATGAGTGCTAGTGTTTGAATTTTGAATGAATATTTGAATGCCCAATGTCTCAGGAAACAACATGTCTTCATTTGAGTTGCTATTTCTTCAGTAAACCTTATTTCCCTATTTACTTGCACCTACTTTTCTGGTTATAAACTTACACACAGAATTGCAAAATTGTTCTAGTGCAGATGGAAGCCATTCAATCAACTGCGCCTGGACTATTTCTATGAATGAGTATTATGATTTAAGGCCACTCTACCACCTTTCCCCTGAAACCAGCACATTGTTTCTATTCAAGTAATTATCTAATGCCCTGTTGATTACCTTAATTGAACCTGCTTCTGCTGCACCAGCAGGCAGTGCATTCCAAACTCTAAGTAGTAACTATATGCAAAGGTTTTTCTAAAATTGCATTTACTTCTTTTGCATATTACTTTAAATTTGTGGCATTTTGTTCTTAATCCTTTTGTGAGTGGGAAAAAATTATCCTTATCAATTCTGCCCAGTCCCTAACGATTTTGAAAAGTTTATCAAATCTCTTTTAAGTTTTCTCTTCTTCAAGAAGAAAAGTCCTAACTTTTCGAATCTATCTTTATAACCAAAGGTTCTCATTTCCTGAGCCATTGTTGTAAACGTCTTCTGTACTATCTCCAAAGCATTTGCATCCTTCCTGAAGTGTAGTGGGGAGAGGTTACACAATACTTCAGCTGACATGTAACTAGGTCTTACAGAATTTCAGCATAACCGCCCTCCTCTTGTACTTGGCACAGATCAAAATACAAATACAAGTACATATTTTGGAATAGCTTTGACCAGTAGACTACACTGTTGTTAAGCTGCTCCGAATTTCACCATAAATAACATATTTAAGTTGATCAAAGCTATCTTCCTACGTGAAATCCAAAATCTAATATTTCTGTGATCTTCAATATTTGTATGAATAAGCAGCTGCTTGGAGTCTCTAGAGGTTAAAACAATGGAACACTGCTGTAATACATTGCATCTTATAAAATCTACTCCAATGGGAACATTAAATGAACATCATAACTTTAAGATTGATCAGGGTACGTATAAAATGTTGATTCACTGAACAATGTTGAACATTTTTGGTAGAATTAATTTAAAAATTCAAACTAATTTTCCATAATCATTGTTTCAGAACTTGTCTGAAAGTTTATCTTGTTAACATTATCCTACTTGTTACTACTAAAATCAAAAAAAAAGTTGCAAACAATAGATTTGCGACCACAACTGAATGATATAAAATTGTGCATTAAAACAATTGAATTAGTTGTAGTTAAACTCTTAATGTGGCAAAAAGCTAATTTAAATTTCAGCAACCCTAGCCACATATTATTTTCATGCTTCCAAGATTCATTTTAGAATAATTAAATCAATCTGTATTAATTGAGTGGATTTTATTTATTGCTGCTGCTAACTGCACATCTTTCCTTCTGGCTCTGGGCCCTGAATATCTAAAACTGAAATTTAAGGGGAGAGGGCAGTGACATCAATAAATAAATTTGTAGTCATAGAGTGTAGACCCCTCCGCAAAAATGCAAAGTTCTCAAAACAGTTTTATTTCAAAGGCAATATTACATTGTGAGCATATTTTCATATTAAACTCTAAAATTATTCTGTTAAAAAGTAATAGTGGAGAAAAGCAGGTTTAAAGATCTCAGTTAATCATTCACTGAGGAAAAAGCATTAAAACAAATCAGTAGGAAACTATCTTAGTACATTATGTAGAACATAAAGTCAACTTTTCTTCCTCAATAGTTGTAAAATAGAGTGGGAAGTAGAACAGATCATGGATTTAATGTTGCAAAACCCTGGGTGCAGAAACATAGGTGCAACTGCGACTGCTTGCCCATTGCAGCTGATGATTGAAACTGCTGTCAGTGGCATCCTGACAGTAATGAACATTCGGCTTAACGACCGTGATTATGATTATCATAATTGATGTGCAAGTGCAATGTGCAGGGATCATTACAGCTGAACTTTACAGCTGTGAAGCAAGCTTTGGTTATGGATAATTGTACTTCTACATGTTGATTGGGATGAAATATGCTTTCAACAGACAACTTTGCATTATTCTTCAAAGCTTCGTCCATCTTGTAATTGTTGGCATCGTCCAGGCAAAACCACTGCCATAAAACTCTGATTTTGACCGGTTTTCACTTAGCACTTTAATGTGCTTCTTTAGAGTACGGTGCATCTGGAAGATGAGTTAAAATGTGAATGCAATCTTTTGTCCTTCAAGTAGTGTAGCAGAGTTATCTAGAATTTTAGATGATGGTCTTATGCTGAAACTAATGCATCTGACTTGCCATTTGCTCACATTAAATTGTACCTCATGTATTCTGAAAGCTATAGTGTCATATATAGATTAGTTGCTTTTCCTGTATTTTTTACTCTTGCATTTGATCCAGTTATTTAAAGCAATATATGAAAAAATTTGTCTATGGATACAAGCCAGCTATAATATTTCTAATGGGATTTTGTTACAATGGTCATGTGGGAACCATAAACCAAATTACTCCCAAATTACCAACAATATTGCACTTGCTGTAGCTTTTACTTTGATGTGACTCAGAGCCAACACATGAGTTAATACACAATGATACTTCAAATCAACAAAGGTACGTCTTGCACAACAAGAGTTCCCGTTCAGTTTGCATGGCATTAGATAACTGTACATTTTTACATAAAATATGTTAATTTTTATTCATGCAGAGTAGATTAGGAGTCCTATCTGACAACAGCTCTCACCTCCAAGTTTCAGTTATGATTATCAGTAGCAAAGGACCTTTCTACGAATCCTCTTTCCATCAGATCAAAGTAGGCCTGATGATTTGGTTATCCATATTTCCCTTTCAACTGGCTAATCAATAACACTTGGGTTATGGTTTGGTCATTTCTGCGAAAACACACATCACTTGAGCACCTCGAAACTATTCACTCAACTTTCCATGCTTTATAGATCACAGTTAACCACCTCACACATTGTCTCTCAGAGCTGCTGACTGCTTTCCTGTCAAACAGTAAATCTGACCTTTTCCTGAGAACAGTTTGCTTGCTCACCTTACAAGATTTTGTTCTGTACCTGTCCTATGAGCTTGGTCTTGTAGTCTCCCTTTTTCCCTTCACTTTCTAGCTCCTTTGCTTATAGGTCTCCTTTGTGTCTGGCCACATGGTATCCATATCTTAACTTCATTCTTATTAGTACTGCTTCCTGGTCAAGGGTAATATGAATCAGTATTTTTTTATTATCCAAGAAAGGTACAATTGACCCTTACAATTGATACAAACATTTGTGAGTCCTTTTTAAACATTCTGTAAAATAATTGCAGATTCCAGAAACATTTTAAATAAATTACAAATTTTCTTTACTGTACAAGGCAAGCACTGCTGTTTCACAGCGCCGGGGACCTGTGTTCGATTCTAGTTCGGGTAACTGTCTGTATGGAGTTTGCACATTCTCCACTTGGGTTTCCTCCGGGTGCCCTGGTTTCCTCCCACAGTCCAAAGATGTGCAGATTAGCTGGATTGGCCATGCTAAATTGGTCCGTAGTGTCCAGGATTGTGCAGACTAAGTGGACCAGCCATGGGAAATGCAGGGTTACAGGGATAGAGTAGGGAGTGAGTCTGGGTGGGATGTTCTTCAGAGGGGCGGTGTGGACTCAGTGGGCCAAATGGCCTGCTTCCACACTGTAGGGATTCTATGATTCTATGATACAGCTTTGAGGTCAAATCTGTCAAAGTATTTTACTGAATTAATTTAATATGCTGTAATGTAATCAAGAAATAAACGCATAAATTGGCGATCTATCACCTCACACTGCCACCAATAAGTAATAATTGTGCCTGAATTTCACCATTAACTCTACCAATACCAGTTCATTTCCATCTCTTCTTTCCATTCATTGAAAAGCTGGAAATCTGAGATAAAACAGAAAGTGCTGACAAAAACCAAGCTGGTGAGGCAGTATTAGTGTAGAAAGAGAAAAAATAGAACTAATGAGTATACATTTCAGGTTGTGACCTTTCTTCAGGCCTGAAATATTAACTCTTCTCTCTCTACATAGCTCATAGCTGATATGTTGTCACCTCTGAGTGATTTCTGAGAAGGTGACTCCTTAGAGAAGATGAATATCTATTCAGTAGTTATGGACAGGCTATTCAAGTGATTAAGTGGATAGTTGAGAAGTTGTTTGAAATAACATTTCCACTTTTTCAGACATGCAGGGTCCACTCCGCGTCTAAGCAGATGAGGT